ACATACATGCACATGCACATGCACATGCACACACAGACACATACACAGCGCGTCATACACACCTGCAATGGTGAGGCCCATGCCGACGCGCTCCTCATCCTTGTTGTCGTGAATGGCCCAAAGGTACAGGCCGGCAAACCACAGGAAGCTCGTGACAAACAGGATAAACGCATAGTAGCACAGGAGATCCTGCAAGCGGGCAAATGAAAGCGTACGTGTGGAGAACCAAAAGGGGAGGGGTGGGGTTAGTGGGTCACATGCTAGGTGTGATGACTATGTGTATGGCTGGGTTGCTTGTGATGGGTGTTCAAGACACATCGTGTTGTTATTGTTTGTTGTTGTACTTCTTGTTGTTGTTGTCCTTGTTGTTGTTGGTAAGAGGGTAAGGGTATCATGTCACAGTGTCATCATGTTTTTCTCTCTTTCATGTAGCTGACCACCCTCAACACACTCTAACAGCATGCCCCATCCATCGCTGCCACCACCACAACAACAAAGCTCGCAACTCTTGCAGGCCGCAACCACCCATCACCACCATCATCATCATGAAGATGACAAGCAAGCAAAAGCGCACAAAACATACCCTGACGGTGCGAGGGGTGAAGTAGCATGACGCGGGGATCTCCTCGGTGTGCTGCTCCCTGGAGATGTCGAGCTTGGTCGCGGCGATGGGCATGGTTGGTTTCGTGCGAGGAGAAGGAGGAGGAGAACAGCTCAAAGCGGCGGGCACACGGAGGGGACAGCTGCAGGCAAGGGAAGGCGCAAATGATCAAGCGATGAAAGGAGGCAGAGGAGAAGCGAAGCAAGGCGGGTGCGTTTGCGCTTTGGAAAACTGCTCAGCACCCAACAACAAGAGGAACGCGTGTGCTGATGTGCATGCGTGCAAGCACATGCGAGGATGAAAGAATTCATTCAAAAATACACTTTGTGGTGTTTAAACAAGAGAATAGACTGAAATCAGTTCACCAATGTTGTGGTTGTTGTTTTGTGTGTGTGTGTGTGTGTGTGTGTGTGTGTGTGTGTGTGTGTGTGTGTGTGTGTGTGTGTGGTGTGTGTGTGTGTGTGTGTGTGTGTGTGTGTGTTTTTGTATCGTGTCGTGTTGGGTGTGCGCGATTTTGGTTCAATCTCCTTCAAAGTGGTGAGGATCAGTCAGCGGCTTGTTTATGCAAGCGCGGGTAACAAGGAGAGCAAAACAGCACACTGAGTTGGAGAACAAGGGGATCGGGTGACGAAGAGAGGGCGTTGCACACAGCAGGTAAAGATGTGTGTGCGCACACTCACAACCACCCCCCACACACACATATGCTCGCACAGGAGACGTAGTCACACACACACATGCACACACAGATGCTCGCACACACACTCTCTCTTACACACACACACTCTCTCTTACACACGCACACACGCACACATACTCTCTCTCTCTTTTGCACACATACACGCGCACTTGCACACATAGAAGCCTACGCAAAACGGAAGACGTGTGAAACGAAATTGATCGCGTTACTTGACACTCCGCGCAATGCGGCGATAGTGGGGTGTGTTGACATGCTTGAGGGCACGCTCAAGCTCTGCCGTGACGTGATTCAGCGTGGCCACATCCGTCTGCAGCAACTGGTGCTTCTCCTCCCCATCTGTACATGGCGCATGTGCGCGAAGTGAGAGGAGGAGGACAGAGGGAAGAGAGAACCGAGAGGAGGGGGGAGTACGTCGTTGCACGGCAGTCACACAAGGGAAGGGGGGAGGGGGGCGAGAGCGTATGCACACACACGCACATGGATACGTACACAGACACAGACACAGACAGACAGACAGACACACACAGACACACAGACACACAGACACACACACACACACACACACACACACACACACCGTGCTGCCGCGTTTTGAGATCCATGACCAACACGGGCTCCACGTGTTGACGAAGGGACCGTGATGCAACCTGCCGCATGGTGGCGTGCAGCGAAATGAGTGTGTGTGTGTGTGTGTGTGTGTGTGTGTGTGTGTGTGTGTGTGTGTGTGTGTGTGTGTGTGTGTGTGTGTGTGTGTGTGTGTGTGTGTGTGTGTGAAGCACAGGGTTGTGCAGAAACAGCACCAGAAGCAGAAACACGGACAAAGGCGCAAACACACACACACACACCTTGACGTCGAGGCGCCAGGAAAAGTCTCTGTATCGGGGCAGCTGCAGACTCATGGAGGAAAGCACATGCCGAATTTCATCCCTGTTCTCCAAATACAACTGCGCATCAACAGCAACAGTGGTGGTGGCGGCAATGACACACACAGGCAAGCACAGCAGCAGGTGAGTGCACCGAGTGCTCGCGTGCGTGTATGTTTGTGTGTGTGTGTGCGTGCGTGCGTGCGTGTGCGTGTGTGGTGGAAGCTCAAAGCAATGCGGTTCACCATGCACAGTCGCAGCTGTACAAGCAACTTAGCACGCCAGCAGCCACATTCAGAACACACACACATCAAGGAGGAGTTTGTTGAGTTCCGGGGAAAACTGAAGTGTCAGGAAGGAATCGTGAAAGTCCATCTCACTGATCTGTGGTGTGTGTGTGTGTGTGTGTGTGTGTGTGTGTGTGTGTGTGTGTGTGTGTGTGTGTGTGTGTGTGTGTGTGTGTGTGTGTGTGTGTGTGTGTGGAGGGGAGATGCGTGGCGGACATACAAAACAAAACCACAAGCAACAATCCAGTGAAGGGTGAGCATGGGTGCACGAGCACAATTGAATCAGTGAGCACGCGCGTGGTGGTGAGTGGCAGCCAAGGAAAAGAATGTCGTCAACGTTGGGCTTTCACTCGAGCAACATAACCAGCACAGGAGGTGCAGCTGGGCACGGTGATTGCTTCCTCCACCCCACCGTCTGACCTTCAGTTTGGAGCACTCAATCAGGAGGTACATGATGCCTTCCACTGCCGCCTTGATGTCCTGTGCAGAGGCTTCCAGCTTCTCTGCGTGGCCGAATTCGTGGAAACAGAAGCGATAAGCAGTAGACATGAATGGGATCGCAAAAAACAAAAAAACAAAAAAGGGAGCTGAGAACGCAGTGGGACGAGGGAAAGGGGTGTGCACGTGTGTATGTGTGTGTGTGTACGTGTATTGGTGTGTGTGTATTGGTGTGTGTGTATTGGTGTGTGTGTGTGTGTGTGCACAGCGTTGTGAGTGAGTGCGCAGCATTGGTGGCAAACAAACATACTTGCGGCAGTTTGGTACACTTTGGGGTTGATGCCATTGTGAAGAAACTGCAGCGCAATTGTGCAAAACTCCTGTACCACTGTATGTGTGCGTGTGTAAGAGTGTATGAGTGTATGCGGGAGTGTGAGATTGTGCGAGAGTCAGAGCGGCTGTGGGTGTGTGTCATATACACACACACAACCAACACATACATACACACAACCAACGCACACAAACACAAACACACAACTACCACATACATACAAACACACACACAAGCAATACACCACACACAAACACAAAACACAAACCGACACGAAAACGACAACAACAGCACCAGCTCCTGCCACAGACATACACCACTGCCACCCTTCCCCCCTTGTGCTGCACCACGTACACTCAATGTCCAGTGTGTTCAGGAACTTGAGGTGTTCCTTGTGCTCTGGACTCAACACGATGAGCATGTCGCGGGGTGGTGGGTGAGCGGTGAGGAAGCTCTGCTGCTGTTCGTCGTCTCCAGCCAGTGTGCAGCTACACTTTATGGTGTTTGGTTTCCATTTCAGTCCTGCTGCGGCTCATCGCGCATCATCTTCGGTTGCCCACACACCACAACACCCGCGTTCCTTACCCTTCCTTACCCACACAACACGCGTCCTGCCTCCCTCCGAGCAACAGTTACGACAGACCCGAGAAGCACAGTGGACTTGTTGTTCCAACAACAGCAGCAGCGGCAGTTGATTTGGCGTTTTTGATTCCCAGCCAGCCCTCACATTTTCAGTTCTACATCCGCGATCCCGCACCATCATGGCCACCGCGATCCGCCGCGTGTTTGAGAACAACCGCAAGCATGGCCGCGCAGTGTTTGTCGCCTTTATCACTGCCGGATTCCCCACCATCGACGCCACAGTGCCTTGCATGAAGGCATTGCAGGTGTGTGCAAGTGTGTGTGTGTGTGTGTGTGTGTGTGTTCATCCGTGTACATGTGTGCGTGCACTGTATCTATGTTCACGTGCGTGTGTGCATGTGTCTGTGTTCACATGCGTGTGTGTGTAGTCGCATGGTTATGTGTTTGCATCACTGTCCGAACGAGCCCACATCACTTCTCCTGATCCTCATTGCATGTGGCAGGATGCTGGCGCGGACATCATCGAGCTTGGTCTGCCGTTCTCCGATCCCCTTGCAGATGGCAACACCATCCAAAAGGCCAACACAGTGGCTCTGGCAAACGGCATCACAACGCCACGCGTCCTGGACCTCGTTCGCCAAGCGCGCGAGGTGCTTGTTGTTGTGAAGTTGAAGTGACGGTGATGACAGCCATGGTGTGTGTGTGTGTGTGCATGTGTGCATGTGGGTCCATGCAGTTTCACGTGCTTCTACCAGCTTCCACGCCCGCACTCACACAACATCCTCACACTCCCCACTCCACGCAGGCCGGCGTGACGGTGCCGATTGTGCTGATGGGGTACTTCAACCCGATCCTGGCATACGGTGTGGAGCGCATGTGCGTGGACGCCGCAGCGGCCGGCGTCAACGGGTTCATCATTGTCGATCTCCCACCAGAGGAAGCGGCAGACACGCTCAAGCACATCCACGCCAACGGCCTCTCGTTCATCCCGCTCGTCACGCCCACCACGCAGCAGTCGCGCATCAAGAAGCTTGCAAGCATCGCCAGCAGCTTCATCTACTGCGTGAGTGTCACGGGCGTCACTGGCCAGCGCGCCAGCATGTCGTCGGACCTGCCCGCCTTTCTCGCGCGCGTGCGTGCGGAGACCTCCCTCCCGCTCGCTGTTGGTTTCGGCATCTCCACGCGCGAGCACGTGCTGGAGGTGGCCAAGCACGCCGATGGCGCCGTCGTCGGCTCAAAGATCATCGCCGCCGCAGAGCTGGCAGGTGCGTGTGTCTCGTGTGTGTGTGTGTGTGTTTCTTGTGTGTGTGTGTTTCTTGTGTGTGTGTGTGTGTGTGTGAGTGAGTGATTGTGTGTGTGTGTGTGTCTTGTGTGTGTGTGTGAGTGAGTGAGTGATTGTGTGTGTGTGTGTGTGTGTGTGTGTGTGTGTGTTTCTTGCATGTGTGCGTGCGCGTTGGAGTGCAGCTGTCCCCAACTTCTCCATCTCAACTCACCACCACCACCACCATCGCCACCGCCGCCGCCGCTGCTGCTGATGCAGACAAACCCGACGCGACCGTGGAGGATCGCGCAAAGAGCGTGTTTACACTTGTCAGCCAGCTTGCAGGTATGTGTGTGTGCAGGTGTGTGTATGTGTGTGTGCTGCGTGTGCATGCTCGTGTTGTGTCTTTTCGTGTATCTTCCCTCGTTTTTGCTAGCTCACACCACCCACTGTCATGTCCCCCTCCCCCTCCATTGCCACAGGCGGCCCCGCGTCCTTCAGCACCAGCAGCGATGACAGCAGCACCGACACGGCTGCTTCGAGCGACAGCGGTGGTGGCCGGGACACGACCGAGAACAGCGAGTGGCTCTTTGACGGCGGATTTGGTGGTCGATACATCCCAGGTACAACATCGACTGCAACACCACCACCACACACGAACGTGCTGTGTGCATGTGTTTGTGTTGTGAGGTGGACACGGGATCCACGTCCATACGCACACGTGTTCTTGCATTTGTGCACGCATGCAGCCTTTCTCCCTCCCTTTGCCCCCTCTTCGTCTCACACACACTCTCTCCTTCCCCTCCAACACACGCACACACACACACACACACACACACACACACACACACACACACACACACACACACACACACACACACACACACACACACACACACACACGCACGCACGGACACATGCCCATCGGTACCGCACCACCAGAGACGCTGGTTGAGGCGCACGAGGAGCTGTGGACGGCGTGGAAGGCAGCGCGTGACGACGACGCGTTCACCAGCGAGCTCAACCGCCTCCGCGTGCACTATGTTGGCGGACCAACGCCGATCTGGCGCTGCGAGCGGCTCTCCAAGCTTTGCGGTTCGGCGTGACACATGCCGATGTCGTGTGATGTGTTGTTGATGTGTATTTGATTTGTGTGTGTGTGTGTATGTGATGTGATGTGATGTGTGTGTGTGTGTGTGTTGTGCGTGCGTGCGTGTGCGTGCGTGTGTGGTGTGTGCGTGCGTGTGCGTGCGTGTGTGGTGTGTGCGCGTGGCTGGCAGAATGATTGTGTTTTCTCAACCGTAGTCTCACCCCCTCCTCCCCGCCCCACACACATACGCACACAATACTTTGCAGGCGGGGCGAGTATCTGGCTGAAGCGGGAGGATTTGTCGCACACGGGTGCGCACAAGATCACGAATGCGCTGGGGCAGGTGCTGCTGGCGAAGCGGCTTGGCAAGACGCGCGTGATTGCGGAGACCGGTGCGGGCCAACACGGCGTGGCCACGGCGACGGCGTGTGCTCTCCTCGGCATCGACTGTACGCACACTAGTTGTAGTAGTAGTAGTAGTAGTAGTAGTAGTAGTAGTAGTAGTAGTAGTAGTAGTAGTAGTAGTAGTAGTAGTAGTAGTAGTAGTAGTAGTAGTAGTAGTTGTAGTTGTTGTTGTTGTGGTGATGGTTGGCGTGTGTGTTGTGTTGTGTTGTGTTGTGTTGTGTTGTGTTGTGTTGTGTTGTGTGTGTGTGTGTGTGAAGAAGGCTCAGCAAGTTTGGTTGCATGCACATGTACATCGCCAGCGTGTTGAAGTGGCTTTCGTTCAATCTTGGCGTGCACCCAATGACTTCCACCATCCTGTATTGCCACCTTGCATTCACGTGCCCTGTGTGGGTGTGTGCGTGTGTGTGTGTGTGTGTGTGCGTGTGTGTGTGTGTGCACTGCAGGTGTTGTGTACATGGGCGAGGAGGACACGCGGCGACAGAGCCTCAACGTGTTTCGCATGCACGTCCTTGGAGCAAAGGTGGGCATGTGTGTATGAAGTATGTGTGTGTGTGTGTGTGTGTGTGTGTGTGTGTGTGTGTGTGTGTGTGTGTGTGTGTGTGTGTGTGTGTGTCCGTTTGTTCGTATGCGCGCGTGTGTGTGTGTTTCTCTGACTGATTTGATACTCGTCATGCGAGTTTGAGCGACTAGTGATTCCAGTCGCTCGTAACATACACTCGTTGCGTGTCCCGGCGCTCACCCAACCTTCAAATCATCTGCGGTCCACTCACCTCATCCCCCTCTCCCCACATGCACACACTTTTCACCCTGTCTGCAGGTTGTGGCGGTGAAGGCTGGCTCGCGCACGCTGAAGGACGCCATCAACGAGGCGATGCGTGACTGGGTGACCAACGTGGCCACCACCCACTACTGCATCGGCAGCGCTGTTGGGCCGCACCCGTTCCCCACAATTGTTCGTGACCTGCAGCAGATCATTGGCCAGGAGGCGCGCACAGCGGTGAGGCATGGATACTGCTGCTCATTAAGTTGCGTGCGTGCGTGCGTGTGTGTGTGTTCTTGTTTACGCTTTATCCGTGCGCGTGTGCGTTTTCGTATGCGTTTGCGCATGCATGATATGCATGTGCACGTAACAAAAGTCTTCAGTCCAACTCTTATCGTTTCATTCCCATCTCTCACACCCCCTTGCTCGCATCACGTGTTCATAGTTCCTGGAGCAAGTTGGGCGCCTGCCTGATGCTGTGCTCGCCTGCGTTGGCGGCGGCTCAAACGCAATCGGAATGTTCCACGCTTTCGTGCCAGACAAGGGTGAGTGACTTGATGCCATGATGTGTGTGTGTATGTGTGTGTGTGTGTGTGTGTGTGTGTGTGTGTGTGTGTGTGTGTGTGTGTGTGTGTGTGTGTGTGTGTGTGTGTGTGTGTGTGTGTGTGTTCAAGATTGTGCAAACGTGCGCAATTGTGCATGTTTTTGGTCACGCTGTTGTTGCTGCTGGCTACATCCCAAGTGTTAGTTGTTTTTTTTTTTTGAATTTCTCAAACCATGGCGCATCCACACCCACACATGCCATCACGCATAACCCTCCCCGCGCCTTCATCGACGAGCAGACGTGCGATTGATTGGCGTTGAGGCTGGAGGGGAGCATGGTGTTGTGACGGGCGCCAAGCACTCATCCTCACTCACCGCTGGCCGCCCGGGCGTTCTGCACGGAACACGAACATTCCTCCTTCAGGTAAATGCATGTGGGCGCGAGCGTGCGAGCGTGCGTGCGTTCTTGTTCTTGTGTTGAACGCTTTCCTTTTTCATTTTGTGCTTGCATATTTTGTTTGTGTGTATGTGCGCAGGCCTGCTCGTGTTTGTGCTCTCGCATTTGCTGCTTCTGTCTCTCTGCCCTTCTTGCGTGCTCATTCCCTTCTGTCGCCACCACTCGCCCTTCCTTCTTGTGTTCCATCCACCGACCTCCACCTGTCACCACCACCCCACCAGGACGAGCATGGGCAGATTGAGGAGACGCACTCCATCTCTGCTGGTCTCGATTATCCAGGCGTCGGCCCCGAGCACGCTGCGCTCAAGCACACGGGTACCGTCGTCAGTGGTTGTCGTGGTGGGGATGGTGGGGATGGTGGTGGTGAGGATGCTTTGTTAAGGGAATCTTTGTGAAGGTTTGGGATATGGGCAGCATCGGCAACGCAAGCATGCACACGTAATGCATGCTTGGTCATGCAACGAAAGTACAGCAGCAAGACGAAGCTCACTCGTGGCCACCACCACCACCGCCACCACCATCCACCGCTACCTCTCCTTGCCCCCCCCCCCGCCTTACACGCCAGGCCGTGCGGAGTATGTGAGTGTGACGGATGCGGAGGCGCTTGATGCATTCCAGCAGCTTAGCCGGTCCGAAGGCATCATCCCTGCACTTGAGTCTGCACACGCCGTCGCACACGCCATGAAGGTAGCAGCAGCGCTGGACGATGCTTGATGGCTTATGCTCGTGGCTGTGACGAGCTTTAGTGTGCGCGCACCATGGCACGCACAGTGGTGACATTTCTATTCCTCTGCGCGTATTTTTCTTTGCCGGTTCATTGTATTTCCTCACCCACCTACACTCGCACGCACACACAAACACACACACGCACACAAACACACAAACACACAAACACACAAACACACACACACACACACAAACACACACACACACACACACACACACACACACACACACACACACACACACACACACACACACACACACACACACACACCATCAGCTTGCGAAGGAGCTTGGGCGCGAGCAGCACGTGGTGGTGAATTTGTCCGGTCGTGGCGATAAGGACATGATGACCGTCGCCAAACACATGGGCGTGAACCTCGACGCCCTTTGATGTCGTGATCAAGATGCACAAACGCGACAAGAAGCACTCCACAAATGTGAAACGAAATCGCGCGTGCCATTCATTGACAGCGATGGCTGGCGGTCGCAGCCAGCAGTCAGTCGTCACACCCACTCATGTCACCACCATACTTTCGTTTCGTTCTGCACTGCTGTCTTGCACACCCCGCTTTCACCAACCTATCGCTTTGTGTCTTGTCTTCCAACCAACCCCTCCCTGTTTTGTCTTCCGTCCTTGCCCCCCCCCCCACTTTGGTTTTGCCTCCCATAGACGCCGCTGTGTTCGTTCGACACGTGCCAATGCCCTACCTGATCGCTATCAGCCCTGCTTTCCACCCGACCCACGCTTTCGTCTTTACCCCCCGTAGTGTGCCCTTTTTGTTTTTTTTGTCTCAGGGTGTGCGACAAGTTGTAACCGTGCTACATTGCGCTTCTGAGTTCACCGCATTGGCTGTGAAGGAGTCACTACAATGTTTTATGCCAGGTACCACCCACCGCACGCACACGCCACACACCCACACGAACAACAACAAGGCAATCCTAATCACACAAGCCAGCCAACCCACCAGAGCACACACGCATGAGGCGGCAATGGCCAGACGAATGGGGTGCTGCAGTGTGGAAACGCCAAACGCCACCAAAAACGCAAAGAAAAACAAAACGCAAAGAGCAAAGAGCAAGCAAGAAGCGAGAAGAAGCATGAACGATGAGAGAACAACAACAGGAGCGGAAGCGAGACAGGGGCAAAGGACGCTTAAAATACAGACAGCTCGCACAGCCAAAGACATTGGCATGCATGGAGACAAGGAAGAAGTGAGAGAAGAGGTAGAAGAAGAGGGGGGGGGGGGAAGAAAGGAAGTTTGGGCACGCAAGAAGAGGGGGGGGGGGAGGGCGAGTCAGAAGCAGAAGCAAGGGCAAGCAATGTCAGCAAGGAGGATAAGAGAGTGTCCAAGACTCATGCGGTGTTGCGTCGAAGCACGAGTTCTTCGCGCATGTCGAGCAGCTTGTACACGTGGACGCCTGTTGGCGTACCAGGCGGTACGGCCTCAAAGAGACACGCCATGCTGAACAGCACCTCCCCCGTCGTCTGACTGCGCACCACCTGAACACATGCACGAGACGCGAGAAATGGGATTTGAGTTGACAGTTTTGCGCATGTGGGCGTTGGCGTGCGGTTTGGCGCGCGATTGTGCAGTTGTGTGTGTGTGTGTGTGTCTGTGTGTGTGTGTGTGTCGGTGTGTGTGTGTGTGTGTCTGTGTGTGTGTGCAGGCTCGGGCAGTTGCAGGGTGCTCACCTGCATGACAGCAAAGTTTTCGAGGACGAGATTGATGACGTCCACACCATTGACGCCGTGGAGGTGCTGTGGTGGAATGAGTGCATGGTGGTGGTGGTTAGGTGAGGTTGATGCCATCGTCGTGGTGCCAGCACAGACCAAGGACAGGTGACACCACAAACGCGTGCACATACACGCGTGCATGTGTACATGATCACACACACACACACACACACACACACACACACACACACACACACACACACACACACACACACACACGCACACACGCACACACACAGAATCCGCGCTTGCTTGCATGTGCGACGCTTACCGAGATGAACTGGGTCATGTATTCGCACATGGTGCCTGAGGTGAGGTCGTAGAGGAAGCGCCCGCCCTCATAGCGCGGCTCCGTCACTTGAATCTTCTCCGCCGCCACGTTTCCAAGCGAGATTGCGCTTGTTCTGCACTCGACAGGCATGCGCTCCAGGCTCTCAAAGCGCGTGGCAAGGTTGAAGATTGCGTCAGAGGGTTGTGGGTTGATGTTTCCGTTGTCGTCCTCGTGTGCAATCTGCGTGGTCTGCTCGGCGTCGTAGTTGAGGTCAGCCCACACTTTGACAAGGAAGAAGGCCTCCTTGGGACCAGCGCGATACAGCTCCTCAAGCTGGGGGAACTGCACGCGCATGAACGCAGTTGAGTTGAGTGTGTGATGAGTCGGTGCAAAATTAGTGCATGCGACAAAGCGAGTCGACAAGATGTGTGGGCTATTGTGTCACATTTACACACACGCACGCACACACACACACACATACACAGACACACACACACACACATACACATACACACAGACACAGACACACACACATACACACACGCGCGCACACACACACACATACACATACACACACGCGCACACACGCGCACGCACGCACACACCTTGTCTGCAATTTGGTAGAGGTCGATGCACTCCATACTTGGGTCTGCAAAGTGGTAGGAGCCAGAGAGCTCAAAGAACTTGTGCACACCTTGGTGGAATGGGTATGTGATGCCAGCGGAGAAGTAATCCAGTGCCAGGCGCAACCGCGCAATGCCGTTGTATGTAATGTGCTGTGCAAGCCGGGAGGGGGACATTGTCTGCGGGGCTATGGGGCTTGGCATGTGTTGCTGGTGCTGTTGCTGCTGTGGAGTGCTTGGCTGCTGCTGCTGTTGCTGTTGGTGGAAGGCGTCTGGGAACATGACGTGCGATGCGGGTGAAGCGCCGGTATTAAACTGCGCCTCGCGCTTCGACGGCGTGCCACCATACGTCCTGCCAATGTGTGCGTGCATGCGTGCGTGCGTGTGTGTGTGTGTGTTTGAGGAGGGAAGCGGCATTGGTGAGAAATGAGTGAGCGTGTGCACAGGGCAGGTGCAAGGAGGAGGGATAACACGAGATAAACAAGTTGGATGTGGTTGTGAGCGCACGCTTGTGACATTCACAGCAGCAAGTGCCCTGGTCTGCCATACTTACATCGACCGGTCTTGGCGGATGGGGGCATTGCCAGCGAGGGTGCTGCTCACAATCTCGGCCGAGGAGAGGCCCTTGAGTGTTTCAGCCAGCTTTTCTGCTGCTTGAGGGTTGGCCTGTGGAACATGTGGGAGAGACAGCGTGTGTGTTTGGCGTTGGGAGTGAGCGAGTGTAGTACATGATTGTGTGTTTGTGTTTGTGTTTGTGTTTGTGTTTGTGTTTGTGTTTGTGTTTGTGCGGTTTGAAAGCAGCTGTGATGCACTGTAGTTCAACGGGGTTGATGGTGCTAACAACCTGACTGCAGACGCAAACCAATGCAGGCAAGGAAGCAAGCAAGGAAGCAAGCAAGGAAGCAAGCAAGCAAGGAAGCAAGAAGGCAGCGAAGGAAGCAGCGAAGAAAGCAGAGTAAACACACACACACACACCTTGAGTTGGCTCTGCAACTCGCGTTGCTTCTTGCGGGCAAGCACTTGAATGTGGCTGGAGACTTGTTTTCTTGACCTGACTTTGCCCGTCTTCATCTTGATGTACCTGGCGATGAGCTCGTTACGACCTGTGGAAAGGAAAGGGCAAAGCAATGCGTGAGTTGGGCACGCAGATGGCTCGCATGCGCACTGTTTCTGTGACGTGTTGGTGTGCATCGACAAATACACACAGGAGAGACATGCACGCATGCAAACACCAGCAATGGAATACACACACGCATGCACACCGAGTACCCACATAGCACAACACACACACACACACACCGCGCAAGAGGGGTGTTCTTACCATACATCTTGCCCTCTTCGGACAGGATGATCTTGCGGCGGCCACATGGCGGGTAGATCTTGAGGGCCTCCTCAAACGCCTCCTCGATATCGGCGGACCATACGCCATCGCCGTCTTCGGCAGTCACGTTGTTCGACATTCCGTTGATGGAGTTCGTGGTGGCGGTTTTGACTCCCCGAGGTGAGGGGGCGATGGCACAAGCCGGTCAGTCGAGTAGAGAGAAAAGACGGAGGGTGGGGTGGGAAGCGAAAGGGTCGCCAATGGATGCAGAAGCAACCTGAACAAAGCGGATAAGCGTAGGGCTTGGCTGGTTGGCTGGTGTGGTGAGCTGTCTGAGTGTGAGCGGGCTGCTTGTTGTATCTGCTGCTGCTGCTGCTGTTGTGACGGTTGTGCTGCGTGCGGGAGTCGGTGATGCGGTGACAAAGTGGGTCCCAAGTTTTTGCTACTTGTTGTTGTGGGTTGTTCGTGTGGTTCAGTCCTCGTGCTGTGGCTGGGTCGTTGTGGTCTGACGCGAGCGCTTCGTCGGTGCAAGTGCTGGCTGGTGAGTCGTCTGTCTGGCTGGAGTGCGCGAGTGAATGCGAAAGAATGTGTATGTAGGCGGGGGTGGCGAGGCTTTGAGGGGTGGTTGGATGAATGACAAAGCTGCCTTCGCTCGCATGCAAGTGCTGCGTTGGTATGTCAGCGATGTTGGTCTGGTGGTTGGGGTGTGGTTGTGTGCGGTTGTGTGTGTGTGTGTGTGATTTGTTTTTTTCCCCCTTTCCGCTGGCGTGTGGGAAGACCACACGCACGCACGCCAAGGGCAAGCGGTCTGGCGAGTGCGAGCGCGCGTGCAGCGCCAGCACCAACAACCAAAGAACTGCTGCTGCTGCTGGGGAAAGTGTTTGGTCGGTGTTTGGCTCGCTGCCTCACTTCAGCGGCAACCGTGGCGGTGTTTTGGGATTTTGGCGGCGGGGGATGATGTCGTTGGTCAGGTCCTTCGTCCGCCTTCGACACACCGTTGGTCTCCCTTCGCGTTTGTCAGGGTCGCGGTGCTCGCGTCGTAGTAGGGGTCGTTGTGGTGGGGGACAAAATTCTTTGCTCTGTTTTTGTGGTGTCGGAGTCAGGGGTGTTGTTGGCGTTTTCATTTGTGCTGTCGTGTCGTGATGTTCATTTGGTTTTGGGCCCGTCCCATACAGCAGGAAACAAATTTCTATTCTTGTTTTTTTTCAATTCCTTCCAGCACACACCAACACCAGATATTGAGAGTGGTGAGTGGGAGTGGTGTTGAGTGGGAGTGGTGGTGGTGGTGTTGAGGTGGTGGTGTATGAGAGTGTGTGTGTGTGCTACGTGTGTGTGTGTGTGCTACGTGTATGTGTGTGTGTGTGTGTGTGCTACGTGTGTGTGTGTGTGTGTGTGTGTTGTGTGTGTGTGTGTGTCAAGTACACGCAGGTGTTCACGTATTGTCGTGGTTGGTTCTGTGTGTCACTGCACCACCCTTCTCGACACAAGTCTTCACTCGGACGCTCACTCCTTCCTCGGTCGTGCACCACTCGTCGTCCTGTGCTGTTGTGTTTGCAGAGCTTCTTTTTATTTCGCTTTGCTGCGACTGACTTGACCAACCGACGCCATGGCTGAACGTGACGACCACCTCAAGGCCATCAGCAACAGTGCGTTTGTTGTTTTGTGGACTTTGTTGTTTTGTGGTTTGTTAGTTATGCGTGCTTGTGTGTGCTTGTGTGTGTGTGTGTGTGTGTGTGTGTGTGTGTGTGTGTGTGTGTGTGTGTGTGTGTGTGTGTGTGTGTGTGTGTGTGTGTGTGTGGTGTATGAGTGTGTTGTTCATTTTAGTGTGTTGTTCATGTTGGGCACTGCCTCTCCTCCTTTCATTCCTCTCTCCCTTCCTCGCCCTCCTTTCATCCCTGCTCTCTTTACTTATCATCTCTCGTTGTCCTCCTCCCTCCCACTAATTCCCTTCCTCCCCCCCCCACCCACGCTTGCTCAACGCGATTGTAGACCGCGGAAAGGCGCCCGCCGCGGACCCAGAGGAGATTAAGAAGCGCAACCAGGCCGCGCTTGCCAAGCGCAAGGCCATGCTGGCGCAGATGAAGGAGGAGGAGAAGTCCAAGCCGCTTCCCGAGGGCTGGCGCCGCGTGGAGTCCCGCTCTCGCCCCGGCGAGTTTGTCTACGAGAACATTCACACAGAGGAGCGCATTGCCTGGTTCCCAACCGAGCCAGCAAAGGAGGAAGGTGTGTGTGCGTTGTGTGCGTGTTGAGTGCGTGTGCCGCTGAGTGCGTGTGTTTTGTGTGGATGCGTATGCGTTCTGAGTGTATGCGTATGCGTTCTGTGTGCGTTTGTTTCTTGTGTGCGTGCGTGCACGTGTGTATGAGCGTGCGTGCATGTGCGTGCGTGTGTGTGTGCGTGTGCAGGCCGCATGTGCCCACGTCAGTCGTTACGTTTCACGTTTCTTCTTGTCTTGCTTTAGTCATGTGGCCGGCGTTATTGCTTGCGTGCATGCGTGCGGCGTGTGGTAGCACAACGTACCCGCGGCATGTCCATGCCCGCGTGTGTTGTTTGCTTGTTTGCTTGCTTGCACGCTGTGCGTGAAAACCAGTTGACTCACTGCAAGCTGCACCCCTTTCCACACACCTGTGCGTGCGCCGTGTGGCAGCCACCCCTGCCCTGGTTGCGCAGAACACAGACGAGGATAAGAAGGAGGCGCTGAAGAAGAAGAACCTTGCTGCGCTTGAGAAGCGCAAGCAGCGGCTCAAGGCCCAGCGCGAGGCCGAGAAGTCCCTTGACCTTCCCGACGGCTGGAAGCGCGTGGAGTCCCGCTCCCGCCCCGGCGAGGTTGTCTACGAGAACGTGTTCACGGGTGAGCGCCAGGCGTGGTTCCCTGACGCGCCCGCCGTGGACCCCAAGGCCTCGGAGGCCGACGCCAAGAAGCAGGCCCTCATTGAGAAGAACCGCAAGGCGCTGGAGGCGCGCAAGGCCAAGCTCGCTGCCAAGAAGAGCGAGGAGGCGAGCAAGCCGCTTCCTGAGGGCTGGCGTCGCGTGGAGTCCCGCTCCCGCCCCGGCGAGTACGTGTATGAGAACATCTACACGGAGGAGCGCATTGCCTGGCTCCCCGAGGAGCCCGCAGAGCCCCCACTGCCGGAGGGCTGGCGCAAGGTCGAGTCGCGCACATACCCTGGCGAGTACGTCTACGAGAACATTTACACAATGGACCGCCAGGCCTGGCGACCAGAGGGGCCCGCCCCCAAGGAGCGTAAGTTTCTTCTCCCTCCCCCCAAACACATGCCATGTTCTGTTTTGCCTGGTAAATTTGTTGTTTGGTTTGTGTGTGTGTGTGTGTGTGTGTGTGTGTGTTCGTTTGGTTGGTTGTTTGGCCTGCTTGGTTGGTTTGTCTGTGCTTGCTTGTCTTGTCTTGTTTGTTTGTTTGTTTGTTTGTTTGTTTGTTTGTTTGTTTGTTTGTTTGTTTGTTTGTTTGTTTGTTTGTTTGGTCTGTTTCTCTATTTGTTTGTTTGCGTGCTTCTGTGATGTGAATACGCAAACACAACATTTTTGTCGCTCACGCCCTCACCATGCCTTTCGTTTTTGGCCCCTTTCTTTTCCTGCCTTTCTCGTTGGTGTTGGTTGCGAGCAGCTGTGGAGGAGGACCCTGCCAAGCGCACGCAGGACCAGCTGCAGCAGCTGAAGAAGGCCACACCCGAGGTGAACATTGTGTGCAAGGCGCGCGCCATGTACGAGTATGCCGCTGAGAACCGCGAGGAAGAGATTGATCTCCTTGAGGGCGACGTCATCCTCGTCGAGTACAAGGTCTGTCCTGCAGCACTTGCTTGGCTGGCGTGCAGCTGCGTGTGCGTGTGTGTGCGTGTGTGCATGTGCGGGTGAAAGTACATTTGCATGTGTGTGTGTGTGTGTGTGTGTGTGTGTGTGTGTGTGTGTGTGTGTGTGTGTGTGTGTGTGTGTGTGTGTGTGTGTGTGTGTGTGAGAGTACAATCGCATGTGTGTGTGTGTGTGTGTGTGTGTGTGTGTGTGTGTGAAAGAAAAAAACACCACTCCTCACAACACACAACATACCCCCTCTTTCTCACTTTTTTTTTTTGAGGATCAGTCAGCGGCTTGTT